TATATATAATATATATATAAATATTTATGTATATATTTTTATATTATTTATATTATAAATATGTATATATAATATAAATAACATGTAAATAAATAAATAATTATATATATATATATATATTTATAGATATATATGTATTTGTAATGTATAGAATAAAAAGAGAAAGAGATGGAGAGCTCGAATATCTTCTCGCATAATAGATGCAACCGATAATGCACACGTGTTAACGAGACACGGGCGTCGCGTCGTTTCGTTTGGAATCCAACATTATCGACTCAACGTCGATTCGAGATTCGTCTCGTATCGAGTGAGTCGAGAGTAACGGAAGGATCCTCTTATCGCGTTGCCCGTCGAAGCCAAGCTTGGAACTGACAATGAGGAGAAATTCCATCAGAGCCTGGACTGCCATGTTGGCAGACGATCTTCGAATATTGATTACGCTCTGTCCGAGCAATCCTGATGCCAGCCTGAATTTCTGATTCACAGGGATACTTGTACGTTGCCTGTTGTCCGCTCGAGATTCTATTTCAAAGAAGAGAGCGAAGAGGGCAGGAAGAGTCTAGGCGTTCTCTCGTTTTCGCTCCATTGAAAACACGCCTTATTCCATTCCTCGAATAATTTGTGTGTCTCGCGAGTGATCGAATTAATTTCACATTAATTTTAGATTGTGCCAATCGTAAATTGATTTTTGGACAAGTGAATCGATTTTAGAATGAAAAATGTAAATACTGTTATTATAGTTGATTAATTCTATGTAAATATAAGTCAACAATGAAAAATGAATTTGCTTCAAAGATATGATATACATTGATGTTATTTGTTTTTTGTATGTAAATTATTATTACCATTCTTTATATAAATTTATTAAATATAAATGTTGAAAAGCAAATAATTTATAATCATTTCATATTTCGTGTTCAATATTAAAAATCATTTATTATTATAAAAAAAGGCAAACAAAATAAGTTTATACAATGATTTGCTTCAAAAATAATTGAAATTTTGAATTGAAATTATTCTTTTCATAATTGAAAAATAAAATATAATCAAATGTTGTTGATTCCGAGAAATATAAAGCTTTTGCTATATGAATTTCTCTATGCTTTCATTCAAATAAGAGCTCTCCTTTAATCTTAATTTCTAGAATTATATCATAAACCACTTTTCTTAACATTTTGTTAAAGTTAAATTTTTCTCTTCAACCCATCTATAATTTAATTAAAAAAGTAATAAACACATACAATATAATAATTCAATTTGTATTTGTACAATTTGTTACGCGACTGTTCTAACAAAACACGGAAACTATCTAATTACGCTTTTTCTTTCTCCCAAAAAAAAAAAAAAAAAAAAAAAAAAAAAAAAAAATGTAAATTGTTACGTATAAAGTTGACTTGCTTTATTTACACAGAACTATTTTCAACCGTAATTTACATATTAATTTAATACCTTCTTTTTCTCTTTAAACTTTTATATCAAAAACAAGTTTCAATTTCATCGTATTTCAAAGCAAATCGTACAAGCTTTTATGCTATTCTTCCAACCGAAAACGTGCCCATATCAGAATCGCAAATAAAGTTGTTGAATAAAATTCAAATATTTTTTTTTTTTATCCATCTTTGAATCGAAGTGAAAAAGGTGTTTCAAGATGGCAGCAAACATGCTTGGAAAAAGCCAACGATTAATGTCGACGAAAGTAGCGCATACTTCACAAGATCAAAATAAAATTGTATTCTGCTCTCCGTAGATCTCTTTCTCGGACACACACTGAAACTGCGGTGTATCGAATAACGAATAACGTTCGATTCAAAACGTAGAAATTGAGTGAATGGACGCACACATGGAGAAAAGCGACCGAACCGCGACAGATTTCAAACTTGTGTCTACCATTTCTAGAAATAATTTTACTCGGGGACGACCGACTCTCGAAACTCGTCGTTTCTCCGTTAATTTCATCGTTTCATCGTTAACAATCTATTGAACGAATTAATTAACCGATCAATTGTGCAAGTTAGATTCGTAATGTTTTAGGTTAGGCGAGCACCGCGACTCGAGCGTCCCCTTGCGCTTTATCTATGAATTTCCCAATGTCGGTGAACTGCTTAAAAAAATGGCCGAAATAGCTGGTAAGTCACAAGAGAAATTTGGAAAACGACACGGTCTGCTTATCGCGTTACCGTTCTAAGGTAAAATACACTTCTTGTTTTGTTCAAACAACGCGATGCCTGAAAGCTGTACATGTAAAAAAGAAAAAAAGCTTCACGCGGGAAACTTAATCCACAGCAACCGATCGAGAATATACCGAAAATCGAGTCTCTAGAATATTTTCTCCGTGTGCAGACTTTTTTTTTTTTAATCTCTTTCATTTTTTTTTATTCCTTTCATCTTCTTTTTTTTCCCGTTTTATTTTCTTTCTCGTTTTTAAATCTTTAATTTCGACATATTTTTTTCTTTTTTTTTTTTCTTTTTTTTTGGTCTGTACTTCACAATAGTCTGTACGTAAAACGGAGCCTCTTTCGATCTTCGGCTGTAGGGTGAATGGTGATTTGGTGGTGGCAAGGGTACACACAGAGGATAAACACTAGACAAAATACACGAATCCCCCGAAATGCGCTCGCTGCCGCGCCAATGCGTCGGCCAGCACGCGTCCCGAGCAAATCTTCATCAGTGTTGAACAAAGGATGCTGACCGTGAACGCGTCAGACTAGACTTCCTCGGTCTATGCTTTTATTCACTTAGCGAGTTATCAACGTAACGTATTGTCTTTGTCTTTTTTCTGTATCCTAAGATAAAATTGAACGAATATATATGTTGCTCATAACCAAAATAATTTTTCCACTTTAGAGGTTATGTTATGCGAAGAATGGCACATTCTTTTGGATAATATCCTTTAAAAATAATATTATACAAGTAAATTAATCGAAATAATATAATATTGATCAATTATGTGAAATTTAAGCAATTTTTATCAAACGTGATTGAAATAACGTGATTCGTGAATTGATTCAAATTCTTTCGCACAATTTGCGTTATTTAATAAATTTATCAATGATACTTTCGTCTCTTTAATAAACAAGTAAATAAACAAGTGAGTTTTCAAATTTTCTACATTTTTTCTTCTTGAGTATATATCATTTAATATTTCATTTAATATTTTAATATTCTAAAAAAAAAAAAAAAATGTCATCGACCTCGATTCTCCAAAACGGAAGATTTCCAAAGTTTATTTGAAGAAACTTTGGCAAATTCACATCACGAGTGACAAGATTCATCGCGTGATTCACGGAAGTGAATTGCAAGTTAATTAATATCAGATGTTGCACGCGAGGAAAGCACCTTTGATCGACAATGTTTCCGAGATGATCACTGACGCATTCGGTATTCGGGGGAGGGAGGGGGTGAAACACGAGGAATAGGATGGTCAGAGGGTTGGCAGGGTTGTCACCCACCGGGGGCTCTCTTGATAATTCAGCTGTCACGGATACACCCGATTGTTTGGCATGGCGATACAAGTGAATCAAATTGAATCTTTTCTTTTTCGTTCTTTCTTTCTTTCTTTTTCTTTTTCAACACTTTCTTCGTCACTGAAAAATCGCTCACGATGGGGAAAACGTTGTTCGAGTGAAAGAAAAATCAAAATTTAAGAAAAGAATTCTTTTAAATTACACATTTTTTTCCCATTCTAATCTTTAACGATATATATATATTATAATATTTTCTACTAATGATAATATTTATTTCGAAAAAAAAATAGAACAAGATTAATAAGAAATATTTCAAACTAGAAATGTAATAAAATGCAAACAAATTTAATAATCAAGATATTACTTATTTTTTAATTGTATAATAATTCGTGAAATATTTAACATCTAAATAATGTAAACGATTTAATAATTCGATCGTAAATAAATCGATACAGAAATCTGTACGAAAATTGTGTTACGAAGAATTTTTCAACGATATCCCCATCGTGAAGCTTCGAAAAAATGGACCATGTAAACAAAACTCTTGAGCGGAATCATCGTCCGTGTGTGTTCAAACACGTTTCTCGAATGGTGCGATGTGTTTCTCTCACATTTTGTTTTTCTACATGTATGTAACACACACTGCACATGTGTGTATACATATATTCCTCGAGCTATTTTATGTGAAACACATCACGTACGGACAAACAAACAAAAAAAATGTCCCTTTTTGAATGAAATCAATGATCTGCGCAGTTCTCGTGGATGATAAAAACGAGGAAAGTAACAGCCGCGTAATATGTAAAACGCATTCGAAAATTGTGAAAGGCCAGAAACTATGTCACGCAGCTATGCTATATGTTTCTCTTTCTATATGTTTTTCCTTTTTCCTTCTATTTTTATCTTTTCGTTAATTCAACGTGTATCGATGATCATCGAACGAGCCAGTCGTTGTTGCGATTAAAAATTAATATTATTCGAATTTTGTTCAGATTTTATAAATTTTGAAAATTATAAAGTTTTAATAGGCAATTCAATTTACATATTTTAGCTTTAATTTAAAAATTGTGTAAAAATGGTAATTCTTTTTTTAAGATCTCAATGATAAAGAAATTAATTCTTCCAATAATTAAAAAGATAAATCTTTCTTATAAGAAGGGAACCATTAAAAAATTTTAAATAACTTTAATTACATATAATTTTTTTATCGAAACGAAACCTTGAAGATTCCCTTCCCCTCCAATAAAATTTCTTAATTTCCAGAATCTGTGATACGTTCAAGTCTTCCCTTTCATAACCAATATAATTAATAATCTTTCCATTCAATCGGTTGGTAAAGTAGATTTTCTCGAAGAGAATGAAGAAAAATTTCAATTGACCGATGGAGCAACGACTCGCTCGCTCGCACGCCTAAACGCAATTATCCTGTTAGACATCGTAAAAATAAAGTATATATACAACTAAGCGTTCATCTATAAATATTATAATGATTTGACTGAATGTGAAAACCGTATGAGAAGAATTGATCGATCTTACCTTTCGGTGTACTCGTTCATATGAGCGTAGCTTTGTACGCTGTTCTCCTCAACGAGGAATTTCACACGCTGGTAAAATGACGCGGTCACGCTGGGCGGTTGTTTACGCAGAAGGACGTCCACGGGATTATTACTAGTAAGGCACATGATATGCTCTGCGCAAGCTGCGTGCGAGCAACACTCGCTGTCAGAACAGTCCATCATGCCATCTGAGAAACAGTGCTTTTTGGATCAAATTGTTCACCGAATAAAACGCAATTAAAAATTATATAAACTTCGTTTTCATAAATTCAATTTTCTATGAAACCTCCTTTGAAATTGAAGAGAAGTGAATTTAATTTAACTTTGCTGAAATTTTTTTGAAAATTTAATGTAATAGATTTGTTTAAATTTTGTATACAAATAGAAAAATATTAATTTAGCATAATAAATACAGAGAAATTAGTTGATGTAATAATATATATTTCTTTCGTTCCTTTTGGTTTTCAATATATTTTACTTACCCTGATCATTATCAATAAAGTCATTACATTCCATTTCCAGTCGTATGCTACAATCCCTGCCTGCCCAACCGGTTGAACACTCGCAACTGTATTCGCCATCTTGCAGAGTGCACAGTCCGTGCCGGCTGCATCCATTCTCGCATCCAGCTGTCAAGAGAATGTTTTAATTGAAGATATCGGGACAACGATCGAAGTTAATTGAAAACCGATACTACCTATTCGAGAAATAAACGATACACGTGATTTCGTGATAGAATGTATACATATATATATATATCTATCGATTCAGAAAAAAATTACATTTCTATAGAAATGATTCTCGATTAAAATGCCATCATCGATTTGTAATAAATACTTTGAGCTCAAATTTAAACCTAGATTTGAAAGTTGAAATACGTTTTTTAGTTTTGATATTTTAATACAGGTTATATATTATATATCTTTTTAGATATTTTTTTTTTTTTTTAGATTACATAAGGCACAAAAATAAGTAAGTAAAAATAGATTTGTAGAATACACGAATAAGAGTAAGTGTTTAAATTTTTATTGATTGATTAATTTTTGACTGATTTTTATAGTCTCATACTTCTTTGTCTGATAAAGCGTTGAGTCCTTCTACTTATTTTAGTCTCAGTACAATTATATCTAATATTGTATTTCAGATAAATACCGTGTAACAAAATTAATAAAACAACGATTACTTAAGTTTTAATTTTAAGAAGACTCCATAAGGATCAAGTATCCATAATAATAAATTTAAATGTTATGGATATCATTAATATTTTACACTTACGCAGCGTGCAATGTCGTCCGTTCCATCCTTGACTGCACACGCAAGTTCCATTCTTGCACTGGCCGTGTTCCGCGCATCGTGGATCGCACGGTTTCTGATCACATTTCGTGCCAGTCCAATCATCGTTGCACCTGAAAACCCATATTTTCTTCAACCACTGAAAATTCAATTCCAATTCTCCCGTAATAATTACAATATTACAATGAAATTTTAATCAAACATTGAACCATATCGAAAATAAATCCGTGTCGTTAAACTTCAATCAATCTTAAACACCTAAGATTTAATCTTAGCTTAAGATTTAAAGATGTCAAGATCCCCCAGATTCTTTCAACGTCTTATATACGTCCTCTTTCAACTCAAGAAATCAGAATCCAGTTTCAAGAGATTGCAACACGCGATTCAAGATAATATTCCGAAAGTGTCGTGGACAATCCCTATTGGGAGGGATGCACTCAGCTTTATCTCCCAAATGCAAAATTGATTCCCTCCGCGTGGAGATCCTTGAGGAGAGAAGGGAAAGGACACGGGTTCCGCCAAGTTCCGAACTCGTCATCCGCGGGTGGGAACTTTTTGCGCTTGCAGACGCTCTTTCTCCGGGAAAGCGGAGGGGACGAGAGAGGCGCCAGCTTTAGAATATGAGAAAAGAGATCCTCTTTCGCGTCCTTGATTCTGACAAAGGGAAGGGAAGGTGGGAAGGGAGGACGGTCCTCCCGAGTAGTGATAAGTTGGCGGCCACCCCTAAGACAGAGCCTTTTTCTCGCAATTTTTCACCTCCTTAGCCTCCGACTTTTCGTGCCTCCGATCTCGCCGGCAATTTACTCATTTTTAGCCCCTGCACTCTAAGCGCCACCCTCCCCCTGCTTAGGATTCCGCCACTTTCGAATTTCCCTTCTTTTTACGCAACGTCTCTTATTTTCCCAATTTAATTTCAATTTAACGTCGAATACGAATAATTTGATATTATGCCTTTTTTTAATAATTATAACTTACAGAGTTAAGATCCCTTAATATTTTTCAATTTCTTTATTTTTTTTTTTTGTTAAAACTAGAAAATATTATCTTGATTAAATTCTGTATAATTTATATACACTTATTTTCAATTCAAGAAATGTCTGTCTCTAATATAGCAGATTGAGAAACGAGGTTAAGAGGAAGGACTACACGCATCACTTTTCCTACTGAATACGTACGCGTCCGGATAATTAAATTTAAATTCGCGAAGGACGATACCAGCCGCATGCGATAGTGAATGCAATGCAGAACGCGTACTAACTTGCAAAGACCCTGTTCGCAGGTTCCATGCGGCCCGCAATCGAGGCCACAGCTTGGTTGTGAACAATCGACACCGGTCCAGTGTCCCTCGCAGACGCAGCTTCCGGATTCGAGATCGTACGTGCCGTGGTCAGAGCAACGGGGTAGGCATTGGTACACCTGCTGATCGACCTGGTTGCACCTTTCACCCTGCCAGCCTGCTTTGCAATAGCATTTACCGGCAACGCATGCGCCGTGGCCACTGCAGTTCGGATCAGGACAATCAGCTGCAATTTATCGTCGATTATCGTTTGTTATTTTTTGCAATATATTGTTTTATATTAAAAAAAAAAAATATGTTGGCAAGATTAATCGTTATTATTCCATAAAAATCTAAAAATCTTAATCTAATCTAACATAACGTAGCACTCAATTGATACTCATCATCAGCATTATGATAAATTTCGAAAATATATTTCTTTTTTTTAGTTATACAAATTATTCGAATATATCAAATGTTTAATCCAGCGTAGACTATTTCAGAATAATCTAACATAACCTAATATTATTAACAAGCTTTTTTCAGTTATACGAATTGTTCAAATATATCAAATGTTTAATCTAGCCTAAACTATTGTGCTCAGAATAATCTAACATAACCTATTATTGACAAGCACTCATCGTCATTATTATTGACAAATTTCGAAAATATATTTCTTTTCTTCAATTATACGAATTGTTCAAATATATCAAATGTTTAATCTAACCTAAACTATTGTGCTTAGAATAATTTGACATAACCTAGTATTATTGACAAGCACTCGTTATTATTATAGACATTATTATAGACAAACTTTAAAAATATATTTCTTTTTTTTAGTTATACAAATTATTCAAATATATCAAATGTTTAATCCAGCGTAGACTATTTCAGGATAATCTAACATAACCTAATATTATCAACAAACTTTTTTTCAGTTTGTTCAAATATATCAAATGTTTAATCTAACCTAAACTATTGTACTCAGAATAATTTAACATAACCTATTATTGACAAGCACTCATCGTCATTATTATTGACAAATTTCGAAAATATATTTCTTTTTTTTAGTTATACGAATTGTTCAAATATATCAAATGTTTAATCTAACCTAAACTATTGTGCTCAGAATAATTTGACATAATCTAATATTATTGACAAGCATTCGTCATTATTATAGACATTATTATAGACAAACTTTAAAAATATATTTCTTTTTTTTAGTTGTACAAATTATTTAAATATATCAAATGTTTAATCCAGGATAATTTAACATAACCTAATATTATCAACAAGCTTTTTTTCAGTTATACGAATTGTTCAAATATATCAAATGTTTAATCTAACCTAAACTATTGTACTCAGGATAATTTAACATAACCTAGAATTATCGACAAGCACTCAATATCATTATTATTGACAAATTTCGAAAATATATTTCTTTTTTTCAAATATATTGTTCAAATATATCAAATGTTTAATCTAATCTAAACTATTGTGCTCAGAATAATTTGACATAACCTATTATTGACAAGCACTCGTCATCATTATTATTGGCAAATTTCGAAAATATATTTCTTTTTTTCAGTTATACGAATTGTTCAAATATATCAAATGTTTAATCTAGCTTAAACTATTGTGCTCAATTTCAGGAAAGTAGTACAAATAATCTACACTTAGCTTTGTTTTGGAGCGTCTTTTGAGAGAAAGCCGCTAAAGGGGGATGGGCATCGGCGATTGTGCCCTGGGCACCGACGAATGAGCTAACTTTTTAAATTATGGCATCGGAACAATTGCATTATTCCCGTGGATTCCAGCTGCCCCGGGGAAATTATGAAACTTAATTCCAAAGCGTCCCGGCAATGTGTCGTACGTTACCATTCACCTTATACACCACCGGGACCTGTTATACGCCATCTTTTGACAATATTTGACAACTCGCGTGAAGTATAAAGTGAAAAAGTTCATATAAATGTACGATTTATGAGCAAGTAACAAAAATTCACAATTGTAAATATAATTATATTACATATTAAATATCACATTACGTTTTCAGGTAACAAATTAGATTCGAATTCTAGCCACCTAATCGTCAAACAAATGCATCCTCGATCGTGATATCAATGGTAGACTTTAATGCGAAACGAATATCCCCCCATCGTTTGTCGAAGAATGATAGGGAAAGAGGCGTTACGACGAAATCGTGAGAATGTCAGAGACAAAGCGTCCCTTTTCCCGCGAATAATTTCCCCATTCGTTTCAACAACGTCATTTTTCCGTCCATGTTTCTGCGGAATAGGTCTGGCAAAGAACACTTGTGAGGCGTTTAACTCAAATTTTATTTCTTCTTTTTAAACGTAGAATCAAGTGGACGAATTGAAGATTTTAAGAGACGTGCAATTTATAAATCGTTAAACATAATTGTAATTACATATAATTATAACTTAATTATTTTTAATTCCAATTGTCACAACTATCACACGCGAAAAAAAAAAAAAACGTCAGAAAAAGCATTTTCACATCGATCCTTCCAAAGTGCGACGATACTAAATCAAAAATAATGCCAAGATGCTCTTCGAAAGGATTAAAACAACCATTAAATAGTACGAAACTAATCGTCCACTTGAATTGCAGCGATGGTTGACCCATATGTAAATTCAACGAGGGAACGTGCATTAATTATAGGTTATACACAGAGACGTGCGGTATACGCTCGGCTGGCGTACGAGGGAACGCGCATTACTAATACCTTGAATCTGTCTGGTATAGTAAAGGGCAGGACGTACGGTTGAATTATGGTGAAATTAATGGCGGCGTGACAAATATGAAGAAACAACATCCGACGCAGAAATAGACGTTAGGAGGTGAACGTTCATCCGCGAGCTGTACGCGTTTCCACTGCTCATTTTTAATGCTAAAATATGGCGTGACACATTGCGCATGCGCGCAAACGCTTTAAGTACAATGTTACCCTTAATGAACTCAAAAGTTGGATCTATCTGAGACGTTTTAAGGGCACATTTAAATTCCGTGTCCCGTGACATTCATTTTTTCTGTTCTTTTCCTTTATTATTTCTACGTACAGTGTGTCACGAGAATAAGTAAAAATCTACTCTTTTTAAATTGTTCTTATCCTCTTGAGAAATAAAAAGTAACAGAAAATGAATATGAATTATCGAATACGTTTACCTAACTCTTCCAATGATTAATTATTATAGATAAGAAAAATCAATAAACTAATTATAAAGATTCACGATATAAAACGATAATTTTCATTAATTGGTCATATAATATCCTTTTAATCACTAATGCATATATCCTGGATAACCTATGTTTTAGCAAAGCAATTTTCGTTCTGGACGATTTTATCACTAGGAACGTTCTTAACTCAAGGGTAAGCGAGAAGCCGGTTAAACAATTGGTCTTAAGGGGTCGTTACTAGACGTCGAACGCAGACTTGGATCATTCGCCTAACTAAACTTCCCCGTTCTCCTTACTTCGTTTATCTTTACCCTCTTCTACGCAGCTAAAGTCGTTAGCATTTTTATTGAGCAATTCCATTATAAAATTAGAATATATATTTTTTTTTGTTATCTTGCATTTAAACCTCTTTCTATAATATAATTACTTTGAATATTCCACTATTTGAATTCATATTTTATTATCTATTTATTATATAAAAATAGTAATTTTAACTCGACTCGCACAATGAAATCTATCTTGTTAAACGCATCTACGATGTGTAATAACCAGAGATGTTTTTAACTTACGTTCGTCGCAGAAACCGCCTTTCCACCCAGGATTACATACACAAGACCCTCTAACACACTGTCCGTGTTGATTGCAATCAGGAACTTGGCAGTCTCCTAATGGTATATCACATTCGGCACCTTTCCAGCCGTCTTCGCAATGGCACATACCGCCACCATATTGTCCGTGAGACGAGCACAGTACCGGGCACACGCTTTTACTGCAATCGGCTCCCTGAAAATTTTTATCGGTTCCCCTATTATCTTTTATTCTCTCTCTCTTCCCCTCTCCTTTCTCTTTCATAAATATGATCGACGAGCGACGTTAGCGACACCATTTCGCGATCTAATCGTTTCGATCAATGTGCAAGTAATTCTTTCGGAATCGTTACGCGAGAATAGTACTGATGGACGGAATTGAATCGTTTCAGATTCAATAATACAATTGTGTGCAAGATTTGTGGCACCGGATTTTAGAGATTCTCGTTTGAACAAATGTTATTCTTTAAAATTATTGTCAGTTGATATTACGATATGGCGTTCTTGAATTATTTTTTTGAGGTTAGGTTGCATCCATTCTTTCAATTTTTAGAACGCTTGTGAATTTATCTTCAGAACGATAGAAACGTACAATTTAAAATAATATTAAAATCTTCTATTGTTATTAAGATAATTAATAAATTAATGAAATTATTCTTTCGAAACATTATACGTACATATAATCGCAATAACAATTTATTATATTAATCTTAGAATTTCGTAATCAATTAACGTAATATTAATGCGAATATGGCCATATGTTTATCTAGTTGAAGCGTATATATTCTAGCTATCCACTTGATCCTGATTAAAATGACCTTACCTTGCCTTGTTACGTAACGGGTATTTCACTTCATCAGTCGAGGACTAACAAGGGGAGTATATATATCGTATAGATGAACGGTTCAACATAAATTTTGCACATCGAGTATTGTAATATATCATTCAAACACTAAGTTTAAAATTTCTGTTTTAAATTAAATTTAAAAAAAAAAACAAAAATCAAATCTAAGATTAATATTGTAATGCAATATATCCTTAATTAAAATCGATCTTCAAACTCCTCAACGTCTCAATCTTGCAAACTTAAGCCTTCCAAGAAACCTGAGAATACCTACGCACCTGATACCCATCGATACAGTCGCATTTTCCAAGATAACAGGATCCTCTTCCAGAACAGTCGTTCGGGCAGGTTGTCGATACACCCTCGGCTTCGGTCACGACCAGGGTGACCTTGTATGGCTGCAACTCATCGTTATACACCGAAAGGAACCAACGTCCAGTATCCAGATACTGAAGCAAGCTAACGTTCACCATCATCGGTTCCACGATCGTTCTCTTGATCAGCACATGTTGGTACGAGCGACTGTCACCAGATCGAGCCTCTGTCGCCGCCGTTTTCATGAAACTGACCGCCTCCGAACTGGTATCTCTTTTCAATCTATGATCCACTCTACCACCTTTCACAAATTCCACAAAATCATACTGCGTGACACTTGGCGCGACATTTCGCCTTCCGTAGACGGCAAAGTTCGCGCCCCAGGGCAGAGTAAGATTCAGTCGGATGAAGGCAGGCTGCTTGTTCCGGAACTCAGTGTTCCAGAAATGGTAAGGCGGGATCATGGCCGAGTGAGCCACGTTGTACGCCTGGAGCTCGAGCACCGCCGGCCATTGCTGGGCTGATTGCTGAATCTGAGGATCGCTCTGTTGGTCCCCAGCGCTGTCCGACGCACTCGAGTGCTCCGCAGTGCTTGTCGGTAACGACTCTGCGTGAAGAGAAGAGAAGAGAAATTTGATTATTTCTCGTGTATTTGTAAATGTAATTCTAAATATTTTAGAGAGATATCAAGAGATATTCGAATATCGTTTTAAAGGAAATTATTATATTGTTGATTTCAAATTCCAATATTTTATTGGCTAAAAATTATTCCGGTTTTTAAAATTCTATTTATTGCTATTTGTTAGTATTCTCTTTAATTTCAATAATATCTGTATCACGTTGTACGTATTGTATTAAATTCTCCGTTAATTTTGACTCCGTTTAAACGTTTGTCGCGCTATTTAATAGCTCATAGTCTTGCGACAAATGCATAGCAGTAGTGCAACTCGACGAATGTAGGTACACATCGGAACCGATATTATTCTCGATGCGGCCATTGTATAGTTATGTACGAGACGGCCGATATCAGGACAGGGGAAGCCATTCGAACGCGGCAGACGTCTCCCAAAAGCAATTACCGCGAGACGTCGTACATCGGAGTATTTACATCATGTATAGTGGATGCAAATTGATACCGCCTGATATTTACCTTCGGTGGGTATTTGCGTTGATATCGGGTCGTGAACGTGCGCGTTCTCATGAGTGACAGCCTTCACGTCTTGGACCACCACGCATTTCGTGCTGTCTATCGGCCGCATCGAGCTCACTGCTGAAAAGAAAACAGAGTTTGCCCTTTAACCATTAACAGGAATATGTCAATAATATGTCAAAGAGAGTCATTTCTGTTTCAAAATAAACAGATTCCTCGTTTCCATGTTTATGAATAATACTTTTGAAAAAATTATATTCGTATGAATGTATGGATTATTTAATATACAAAGGTGAAAAGTTTGTTTTTAGAAGTTAAACGTTTCCACATTTATAAAATCCATTTGATCTTGCAAAGAATGGCATCAAGAATGATACAATTTTAATATTGCTCGACCATCGCGATATTGTATCGCGTATAAGAAAGTTGCAGTACCATCGTTGGCCAGCTTTCTTTATAAATACAAGCGCACGTATACATACAAGTACGTGTATATATTTTACGGTCTATACAACAAAAGTGCACGCAATCAACTTGTTATATTCTTAATGTAGGTGGCCACCACTTCAGACAAAATACCGCCGTAACGCGACTCTTTTATTGCACGAGGTATCAGGAACAAGGCTTTGGCCGAATGTACCGTGATGTCCTAATGGCTTCATAAATTTAAACAATCGCTTTCGAATTACATGGGACACTAGATATCCATGAGGCGACCTCTCTTAGTAACTTTTCAAGATGGCAATCCGAATGACAAAGACCGCGTCTTTGTTTCCGTATTTAATGCGTATAGTCGGTAATTGATGAGCAGACAAGATAAAGTTTGTTCTTTGTGAATAGTGGAGTGTATCTTTGTATTGCGAAAGCAAATAGATTAAAAATCTGAACGCAATATTTTGTTCAAATTATTCTCTGTATTCTTAAGATTATTTATGACAACATAACCTAACCTTTAATTATTTAGTAAATAAGAAAAAGTGATTTTTTTCTTTGCTATAAAAATAAGATTGCGTGAAAGCATAATGCTTTCATAGGATTACAATGTAACTATAAATCATATTTCTATTTATGTATTATGTGTATATACTATGTGTACTCTAATGGAAAGAAGCTATAAATTATATAGAATATGTGAACTGTTTGGAATATATGATTTTTATTACAAAGATTCTGTCGTGCATATTATGATACGTGATTTTCTCTATAAATTCATATTCTGTGATTTCTTATATATCATTATAGTTTATATACAACAAATTCTTAAAAACAAATCATAATTCTAGTTAAACGATTGTCATTTGAGTTTGCAACGATCATTAAAATACCAATATGCTATATTTATAATAACACTTTACAAATATAATTTCAATATTATTTATTATTGTAAAAGAAGCAGGACACTCGATATTCTTTCATGATGATCTATATATATATATATGTATTCAATTTATATATGAACAAAAACATTAGCTTTAGATTGAATAAAATTTATTGAAATAAATTTTAATAAAGAGATTAAAGGTTCATATGTAAGTGTTTTAACTATTATAATTTTTGTTTCTTTCAATTAAATAATATTTTTTTCTGATATTTTTTTTCATAATAAAAAATTAACGAGATATTTAAGATGCTTTATATGATATTTATTACATCTTTCAGATAAGAAGAACATCAAATTTAAAATGGTAATAGATCTCACAATAAAATCTTTATTCCCAACCAAGAATTATCATGACTGATATCTTTCTCTACTACTTGCAGTACAATACATTATTTAATAACATTTTGACTTATCAATGCATCTCATTTTGTATTTTCAGCTGAATTCATGCATTATCATCGAATAATTTGACAAAAGAGAATCACATTTTGATTATTAATATTTCACTGTATATTCGTCTATTTCTCTCTCTTTTTTTTAAGCTTTTTTTTCATATGTTTTGTTGCATTCCTTTGATTTATTAGACATCTCTTATTGCATGTGCAATAGTATTTCCGCGCAGGAATCACATGGTCGGCAGTAGTGAAAACCGTCCAATCACATGCGAAGTCGTTGTCATACTGACAGAGATAGTAATTTATGTGCAGAGTAATATTTTCTTTTCCACGTCATCCGGCTGGATTCATGGGCCGGCAAATAGAATTCCCACGTGCATGATATTGTCGAGTGTGTTCCATTAGTGCATCGACGATTGATATGTATATTTGTCAGGATGATCTTTGTGATCTGTTAACGGATCTATCTATATCGAGCTAAAAGTCGATTTTTATCGGTCACATTTTACTTTCATGATTATTTTTTCTTCATGCATTTGATCGATATTATTTTGTTTTCTTTTTAATTATCTTTTAAAATAATTAAAAAAGAAATATCAAAATAAGAAACAATTATTCTGTGTCAAAATTTTCTTTTAGACTCTATCGATTTACCATCGATTCGTCATTCTTTAGACAAAGGAAAAAGAATGAAAGAAAAAAGTTGAAAATAAAATGAAAAACTCCAAGGATACAATTACGATCATCGACTGTTTGATTCCACGTGTCACTGGCGAGGGACAAATTACTCTCTTCCACGTGAAAAAGTGGACGCATGCGATCTCTATGTTTCGGTGATTTGCACGCAACTATAGAAAAATAGACTAACTCTGGTTGCAGAGACCGTATACTGCGAAATAACTGAAAAAGAAGGAGTGTCCTCGCGAGATCGACGCCGCTCGTTACGTAACTATCGTTGGAAATTGAGTTGCAGTGAACTGTGAACTGACCTTATTTCGTTAGCATCAAGAGCAACCATAGCGACGTTTTCGTCCTCATTTCTCGTCGATCGTCAACCACCGTTTCTACGTGCATTACGTGTGTCACACGAGTTTCTCTCTTCTGTGTATACGCTCGTGTGCAACTATGTTTCCTAACCTCGAATTACGAATTCGAATTGCATTTCTTCTACATGTGTGTTAAAACCCATACGTGTGGCGAATTTTATTGTAGGAAAGGTGAATTGAAATTCGCGAAACTCCAAATAAGTTGTTCGACTTTGAAGATGAGGTTTGGATTTCCCTGTGGGCAGTGTGAATAGTGGAAGTCGAAATTCATAACGTAAACACACACACACACATATACATATATACATACACAAAAGAAAAGAATGTAACTTATCAAAATAGGTTCAATTTATGAAAGAAATATCGCGTTTTAATGAACTTTTGTTATTTTTTTTTTTTATTTTATTTCAAGATAAATATCATAGGAAATATATATTTCAAATTTAATTAGAAATATATTCATTAATTAATCCAAAGTTAGGATTAATTTCTCATTAATTATCAACGTTTAAATATTTTTTATTTTATTATTTTAAATATTCGTTAAAATTTTCGTTAATATTTTTTTTTTATATCATCTTTATATCGCTTTTAAGAGATATAATACAAAGTTGCAAATTGCAAATCGCGTATTAAAAGAGAAACTCGACGAGATGGCGGAGACAGTGAACTTTCATTATCAAAATCGCCGGAAATTTGAAATGGGTTGAAGGATGAAACACGTCCCCCTTCCTTCACCCCTCCCCCAACCAGCCCATCCTGTTCCTAGCACCTTGATTCACCCTTTGATTCGAGACAGGGAAAGGTGAAGTCGGCTGAGAACGACAGGCAACTCGATCGGCGTGAGCAAAGGAACAACTTTTTCAATTATATTCCCTCAGATCGATAGAGCGATTCATTCCCGAGAATGATTCCCGGATTATCGAAGGATTATCCGTTCACCCACGCCCACCTTGTGCTTCCGCTTTCTTTCCGCGGGTTTTAATGAAATGTTTACCATCGATCCCGTTCCTTCTAATCCATTGATACTAATGTAATATCTCTTTTTACCAATATTTCAAATAAATCGTCCAGAAATCTTTCTAAAATTTCTTTATTTAAGACTTAACCTTAAGAAAGGCTAAGGAGGAGGAGATTCTTCTCTAAGAAATTTTCCCATTATTTTTTTTTCTAAGAAATTTGAAAAAAATCTTACTTTTCTAATTTTAAAAATTTCTAAAAAATTATTTATTTTAATAATTACTTTTAATTTCAAGATTTGAATGAGAAAATCAACAATTAGAAATTTTTCTTTCTACGTACTGCAAGTAATGGCTTTTGAGTTTTGGTCTTTCTAGAGACAAAATTCCTATTTTTAATTATTTTTAGAGATTCAATTTGTCTTAATAATGATGTACAATACGTAAAACGTGTATATTATTTTTAAGGATGAATAATTAATGAAAATATGATATCAAAAAGCAAGAAGTTTTGAGAAACATTCTTTGAATATATTAAAATCTTGTTGCAAGATTATTTTTCTTCGAAAGGTGTGCTTCTATTGCGTTTTTTCTCGCCAGTTTATGCACCATCGTAACGTCGATAACTTTAGAAATCCATGTAAAAATCAAAACATTCTAGTTCGACGGGAGGAAAAATGGCGGTGGGCATGGAACGATTCGTTTCCTCCTCGAACAACGTGTCTTCCATAAAATCGTTTCGATTCCCTCTTCACAATTTCATGGAAAGAAGTGGGTGCAAAAATTCGTTCGTGATTATTAATAGCCGATTCGAGTTATAGTGGCATCAACAACAAATACCTCGAATATGTTCAGAATAACGAGAGCAATATTTGAAGGTGGAAAAACCGGGTTTTGTTTTGTTCGATTGATCACTCTGCGTCTCTCTCTCTCTCTCTTTCTCTCTCTTTCTCTTTTTCTCTTTTTTTTGCGGAAATCACCGCATAAGAATTATTTACGAAACGATTCGCTTTATCAATTTAAACACCATCATTGCAAAATACGGTTTTTCAAAATCAATATTCAAAGTAATTTCGTTTCAAAGAGGTAAATGAACCGAAGATACAAAATTCATTTAAGAAAAAAATCACTTTACAGGAATTTTCCTTCGTCCAGCGGGGAAAATCCGTCTCGAAGAGCTAGAGGAGGAACGCGTGGAACAAGGGAGACGAGAATGGAGACAGAGAAAAAGGGAGGAAAAAAGAAGGCGTGGGTATGGAAGAGGGTAGTTTGGATGCAGTAGCAAACAGGCAGATTGGATTCCCGACTCGATTTACCGGAATGCAGAAATAACAGCTGGCGAGGTCTCCTCGAGGCCGATCCGGCTTTGCAATCTTCTCCTCTTTTCTTCCTTCCGCTTTTCACAGACACACGAGAGAAAGCGACATGGGGCGGACAGAAGAAGAGGAAGAAGAATGCAGACGCCGGATTCGAGGGACAGTTCAGTAAAGGTGAACTCAAGAATGTTTTATACACAGGATGGATTCGCATAACTGGACCATCCTGAATAACATTTAAGGCATGTGTTCTGGGAAAAATTGTTTCGTACTGTTATTTTTATCGTTGCTTGGAGTTTAATATAAAGAAAAGATTTTAAAGAAGATCTAGTGAAAATAAATTTGAATGTTAACGGAGTTAAAGAATTAGCCAAACCGAAAGTGGATAAGCATGGCAATGTTCAGACGACTCGTTGGAAGTAGAAACATCGGTCAATGATCAGCCATATAGGTTATAGTTAACTTATAACCTATATTCTGTAAATTGTTATAATTCCATTAATAATATAATATTCCAATAACAATTTCTCCTTCATTAAAATCATAATTCCATACTTTTTTTTTATTTATATAAAAAATTATCTCAAAGTCTTCTAATAGAAATAACTGTAAAAGTAGAAATAACTGACATTCATCAGACACGTCATTATATAAAAAGTACTTTACTTTCTTATTTTTCCATGATACATCGCTTTCTTAATTATTTTCCAGCTTTCATTCAATCCTAATAATACCCTAATAATATCTTTTAGATTTTATTGATTCTCAATATCTCAGAATCATCAGTAGAATATCAATACATTTTACCATCAACAATACACGTCGAGGGAACAATATGATCCATCTCTAACTTTGCTTCTTTTCTTTCACGCTAAATTCCCTTTATTCCATCTGTTTATCTGAAAAGATAAATCGTAATTCCAGGATAAAAGGGACCTTGACCGCCGAGGCTTTGGATTCAGGGATTTGTCGAGTCGAACCAAATGCAAAAATGCAATTCCGTCAGTATACTGTACCGCCGCTAGAAGGAGCTAGTGTTTCGCGCAGATAACGAACAGGCGTTAATTTCTCTAATCGGTTCCCTTCCCGCCTTCGTCGCCCCTTTCTTTCGACCGACGATGCAATTTTCGTGTAACAGCGTCGGCTAAGCTACTCCCTTCCCTGGACTCTTACCACTACCGCCCTCTGCTGTTCTTTGATCTCACGTTTCTTACTCGCCGTCTCGACTACCGCGTGGAATAGTTAATCAACGAGTGAGCTGGGAGAAACGTGGGTCGAAAGTTGTGAAAGTTTTATTGCAAAGTGGCTTGCGAGCTGGCTTTTAAGTGTTACGGGCGCATGTTGTAGGTCAGTTTTAAGTATGTGGCTTTTGGAACGTGAGTAGTTAAAGAGGAAAGTGGTTTGGTAGAGATTCAGTTTAAAATTTATATACTTTTATATTAGCTTATTAAAAGTAAATAAATCGAAATATTGTTGGGATTATATAGAGTTAAGATAGAAATTTTATAAAATATATACAAGTACAAAGAGAAATTTAGAACATATTTTTAAGCATCCATCAAATTTATTACTGTTTGCAAGTTGAGCTACAAAATCTCCAATAAACACGATTATCAAGAGGCAAAAATACCATCGTAACTACGCATAAAATACGATCTACATTTCACCATGGTAAAGAAGAAACGTTCCTCCCATTTAAAGTTAATGCCTATCGCGGAATAGAGGGATTTTCTTTGAATCGACCTCATAAGCTCTCGAGGATCCTAAATTTATCGCCAGTAAAACCTGATACGAATCGTTTATACGTTTCAAAATCGCGGCTATGATATCAAGGATCTTATTAACTTGTTAAAAAAAAAAAAAAAAAATACCACTGAATATATAATTTGCAATAAATATTTCATATTTCAATTTTCAATCAAATTCGACTTGCCATTAAAATACAATATATTTTATATATTTTATATATAATTTATTAATATTTATATATATTATATATTATATATTATATATTTATATATATTTATATATATATTTATTTTATATATTTTATAATCTTTTTTTACTAAATTTATTACTATAACAAAAATTTTTGGTCTCCCAATTTTCCTGTAAGTGTCAAAATCAAACCGATATCTCCCTTCATTTGTTGTACGATCGATTCTCGCGTGACCGTTCAGGCTCGCCCTTTACATTCTCCCCAATGAACACCGAGTCATAGAGAAAGAGAGAGAGAAAGAGAGAGAGAGAGAGCATAATGTTTCTCGAGGCTGATCATTATTGGCCGGAAACGCGGCCACGCTGTCGAAGCGCTTCCTCGCCATCGGTCGGCAATATTTTCACCTCTCCCCCAACCGGATGAAGGCAACCGCCGCTTGCTACTAAATGAACCATTGCGCTAGTAACGTTTACTACGCGGTTCCGCGCGCTTCCTATCGAAGATCCGGACTTCCGTCGTTAAACGGTATTTAATTTGCTGATATACTGGGCCACGAGGAGGACATCTATGTTCGCTAGCTAGATCTCTAGCTTCCCTTTTAGACCGCTGGATGTCACTTTCTCCGCCTAAAGCAACTTTCTATCCCTAGACACTTTGATGAGTACTTATTAAAGACTGAAGAAGATGCGTTTGTAAATATATACACGGTACGTGTTTCGTAACTGATCGATTTTAATTGAAACTTTTTTTGAGGTTTTGGAGATAAAAGAAGGAATTAGAAAATGAATCTTTGCTTTTCGTTTTGACCAAAATTTCTTTTCGATGGATATAATGAAACGATAAATGAAACGCTTGGAAGATACGAAGTTAAAATTTTGACACGATTTATATCAATAATGGAACAAAGGAAACAAATGAAGAAGCATTCGTATCTGCGAATGGGAAAAAGTGCTTGATTTCCAGCGACTAATAATTGGATTTTGATTAAAAAATTTCGTTAGAAAGAGAGGAGCAATAGCTTTTAATGAAATATTACGTTTAAAAATAGGAATCTAGTGAATATATTTCACGGCGAATGGGGAAACGAAACGGAGTGGCACAGTTAGAAAAGCAGGAAGCATGGCGAAAAATTTCGATCCCCATGCGTGTTGGGTTAAACGGTACCCATACAAGTAATATGGGGGGAGCAGGTGAAATGCTAGATGAATTTTAATTTCAGCTCCATTACCGCTCGTTCATAAAACGCCATTGATGTCGTTGTTCAACAGTGCGTGCAAATTCGAGGAGGGAACATTTGCATCCTGATTGATCTTCATTGGAATAATAAACCATGAAATTTACCAATTCGAAACCAGGCATATCGAATTTTTTTTTATACGAAACGATAAATTTTCACGATAAATTCAGAGAAATAAACAAGATGAGATGGATAACGAATTTTTTCCTTTATTCTTGATAATAAATAAAAATGCATAAAATATATAATAATATAGAATAAAAAGGATACAATTTTGACAAAAAAAAAAAAAAAAGAAAAAAAATCTCTCTTAATCATTAACTCACAGACATACAGCATTAGAAACACAAGTCCAAAAACAATTTTCGTCGTATCGAGATCAAATCGAAATCGGCGTTTCCGTTTATAGGCAGATTATATATTTCGAGTTTGGGGAAACTGAAGTTCAAGGAACCTGAATTTCAAGCGAGCATCTCGTCTCTTTAACCGGATAATGCAACTCGATAATGAGTTATTGTAGCATAAACTGTGGATTAACGGGCAGAACTGTGGATTTTCCTGTGGGAGGGGAGGAGGGGGGAGGGAGGAGGTGCGGCGATAAATTTACGGAGACCGGCGTAAATAAGAGCCACCTAGTGAACCTATTCGTACATAATGGATGAATTAACTGTATTTTGATTCCCGCGGCCTTTTCAATCGCGGCCGTTTCCGCGTCACCGCGAACCGCATCAGCGAATTTCTGAACGTAGCCGCGCGCATACACGATTCGCCACAAACCAAATTCGAATTCGCTAAATTTCTAAAAATCTATGATACTGTTATTGAATGGAATGACGAATACCTGTACTGCAATTTTACTATATATATATATTTTTTTTTTTATCGGCTGATGTTTTAGGTTAGGTCAGTTCGATCGTATCGATGCGCGTAGCGTCACATTTGGTTTATTTGATTCTGCGTTACTAGTGAAAAAAAAAAAGAAGAAATGGACGAAATCTTCGATATATCGAAAAAATTTCATCTGCTTTGTGAATTACATTATGCACTTTTATCTATTATACCACCATAAACTCTTATCCCTTCTTTCGAATATAAGCCATTAATTGCAATTTTCAAGGTAAACGGATAAGAAAGAAATAGAGAGAGAGAGAGAGAGAGAGAGAGAGAGAGAGAGAGAGAAAGAGAGGAGGAATCAGAAACGCTTCTTAAAATTCACGAAGTTCCCATGTAAGCTTATTAGTCGATTGAATATTCTACCTAGTTATATTGCGTTTACTTACTGGCGAAGTAAGCCAGCATCGCTGTGAGCGCAACAGCGAGGAGGATCAGTGCAATCGAGAAACACTTCCAGGAGCATCTGTGCTGGCACCGTTTGTCGATGTGAAAACGTGACGGCGAATACGGTGAATAATGCGGCACCGCTGCAGCGCGAAGTGGAAATCCTGGCATTACCATGGCTTGACCTTGGGCGCCCACCGTCCCTGTACCACCATTTCCAGCGGCTGCCCCCAAACCACCACCCAGAGAGCCGACTGTCACCTGCTGCTGCGGCGGAGGAAGCCTGTAACACAAAACGAAAATGGGCAATCGTTATTCATCACCGTTGCTGAATTATTAATTATTTATTTGTGTTGTTTGGTATCAAAGGAGGATTTTTTTTTCTTTTTTTTTTTTTTCATTTCAACAAAAATCGCGAGTGGACAAGAATAAGACGAAATTATTATCCATTCGTCTAGATCGTATGGTACGATGATGAGCAAGTTTTTTCGACTACCTTTCATGGGAGAGACGCGTTAAAGCTCGGGGACTGTCAAACCTACGTCAAGGATTTTATTCTCATCACAGGCGATATTTATCTTGATCGGTATCGAAAGGGTCTCCTTGTGAAAGAGGCAAACAGGGATTCAATACAGGATATTATGAACAAAGTAACTTAACCAGGGTTTCATTCAACTATAACGTTTCGAAATGTCGTACGTTCTCAGAATTCAGGATGATGGATAAGATGGATATAAGAGAGATTTATAAAAGTAGTCATCAGTTGGACGATTTATTACGTTTGTTCGAAGATTATAAATCGACGGAAATTAATTTTCCACCCGGTTAAATTCTCAACGGGTATGGGGTCACTGTAAGTATTTTCACAATTATTTTTTTACAAAAAATTTAATAAACATATATTTAAGAAGAGGTTATCATTCGATTATCAACGTATTTGAAATTATCGAAATTTTCTTGTATCACACAAGAAGCATTAAAATATTCTGATATTCCGAGCGGAGAAAATTCGACGGAGGAATAATGCCAAGGCAATGGTCGGATGAAAATCGAGCTAAGCGGCTGCACGAACTTAACAATACCACCCCGAAGCGCCAATATTGAATTTTCCGCTTAAGATTCAACCGAGCTTCCAACGATGGGCAGGTGTTGTAACAACGGGACGGAATTACGCGGCCTGAAAACGACGCAAATTGGGCCACGGCCTGCCGCTGGTCGCCCCTTCGATCGAACAAAATGGCGAATGAATATTTAAACCTAGGACGAACAGATATAATTTTCGTAAAGGGAGAAGCGAGGCGAAAATTTTAGATATTTGAATATATAATTTTAATTCTCTTCGTTTTCACGAATCGTAATGATTAATTTAGTTTCGAGCCTCAAGACGCGAAAGAAAGATTTCAATAACACCCATCTGTCATAAGATAAGCTTACGAAACTTGTTACAAATATACTAAAAAAATAACGAGACGAATTTATGAAACGAAATTTCAAAGGAATTTTCAATCATAAAGTTCGGCTCTCTGCCGTTATATCATATTCTTTTTTTATCAATCTTGCCGAGACTCGAAAGGGAGGGATCATTAAGATGTTTCACGTAGCTCGTGTAACGTATTAGTTATTTAACAACGCTCGATAAACGTCATAAATAATTGGAAGTTCTTACCGAGCCTATAAACGTCCGCTCATATTTCTTTTGGGGGAAATCGGACGAGGCAGAGCAAGGGATCGAAAGAAGGGAGAAAGAAAGGGTACGAGCAACGCGAAGGTAAGAGAGCGGAACGGAGAGAGGAACGAAGAGAGGGAGAAGAAAGGCGAAACATCACTGGCAGAGGGCCCGATGCCGGTGCTTTACCGACCGAGCCCGACGGAAGAAACAAGCGAAAGAATAGTAGCGAGCGATAAATATTGCTTTTTCTTTTGGAGATCATTAAGTTGAGAACAGACGGCGGTAGAAAATTAATTTACTAAAAGTATCGGCGGATTCGTCGCAAAAACGGGCCGGCGAAAGAACTTTAATGGCGAAATAATGGGGGTCTTAAAAGTTGGACGATAGCCAGTGACATCTTTATTCGATCTCTGAATCGTCGTCTCGCCCAAAGACTTCCCCCTCTTCGTCACGCTTTCCCAGTGTGCCGCCGTTGTTTGTCTCCGCGAGTCGCGTGCAATTCATCGTGAAAAAATGCGTGGCTTAATGAACTTGATCGTGGCGCTGCTATCGAGTTATATTTCACTCGCTACGTATCCTTGGTCGAGAACGAACTTTTTCTCGTTCGAAAACGATATGATATTATTAATTCACGAGATCGTGAATACGTGCTGGATATTTTTTTGTACATTCGTATATGAATTGAAAGAGGAACGTATAATGAACATCCCATTTTTTGATAATGATATTTTTAACCGAGTATATTCGTTTCATGCGACAAAATATTTCTGGGCTTCGTTAACATTGTTACGAATGCTGATGGAAAATTCTTGTACACGCGTATATACGCGTACATTTGATACGATAATAACAAAAGGGAACTTTGACGAAGCAAGTTTCACTTCATTGTTTCGTCGAAAGTTAACTGCATAACGTTTGTTATAGAACCAAGTTGAACGATTATATAATGAATAACGACAATGCCACTATTATCACACTACTCGATACTAGTACAATTATAAGTCGTACTTCATTTATCATCTAATCAATAAACATAACCTCTTCTTTTAACTACCACAACAACAACGTGTAATATATTCATAAATAAGTAAATAGATAATTACCAGTAGATAATCCCAGATATTGAATAATTACTATAACGTTTACAATATCTAGAAAATGACACAACTGTTTAACAGAATGTTTTAAACGGGTTAAATGAAAAGCGAGTTTGGCACTTCCTCTTTTCACCACGTTTCAGTTGTCGCCATGATTGAATAAAGCAAAGAGCCATGTTTCCAGCTCGAACGTTTAATTGTGATCGGAAACGCAATTCCGTAACGCGCAGCACTAATCAACACCCGCGGCGCGAATAAAGCTTTAATGAGATTGCGAGTGTAGTGATGGGAGGAGCGGGGAGGGGAGGAGAGGGAGCGGAGGCGGAGACAGACAAGGGCGGCGAATTTTCTTCCGACGGTGACAAATAAATACAGCTTAGGTTAAGAACCTTCAGACAGCTGTACACCCGTTTCACTACGGACAACCAGATTCCTGATTGCACGTAACGGACAAATGAAGCGAGGAGGGGGAGAGAGGAGAGTAGCTGAAAACAAGATGAACGACTGCAAGTGGAGGAGAAGGAATGGAGTGGAAACGAAGAGAACGAGAGGGGAAAAACATGGAGGAAGAACGAAGTAAGCAGCAATTCGGCGCGTTAACATCGTGGCCCCTCTTCAACCCGAGTTAATCCATTTGCACGAGTAAATCAGTTAAACTGAAATTGGGTTATATTTCCTAATCGATACGATGGATTAGGTTATACCATGGTTCGCCGGATTCTTTGTCACGTGATTCGCTCATCTTGTTTTGGGATAATTTTACGTTTGTGTTTTTCATAATGTCTCATAATTTCAATGTAAGAATAGGATTTCTGGAACAGTTATTAAGAATTCCAAATTTTTGAGAAAATTCAAGATAGAATAATGTAATTTTGTACGAATATAATTTTCATAACTTGTGATGAAAATTATTAAAAAAAAAAAAAAAAAAGGCAGGAAATTATTTGAAATTCAGGGAATAAAAGTGGCAAGCGTCGCATAGGGGAAATTTCTACGGTTCGCTCGAACAAAATTCCCTAGCCATTACAATCCCTCGTGATGGTGATAAAATTTCTTCTATTGCCACAATGTTTCCCGTCCCACTATTTCTCCCGATATTCTAATTCGAGACACGTTCAACGTTTTAGGGTACAACGTTCCAAAGCTTGCACATCCGCATTTCATCTACCTTCGAGTCTCCTATACGTGTTGCCAATCGTTCAATGTTCACGTTGGCACACTTGCGCGCGCGTCTACGACACCTACACCGATTAAGGGAATTGACCAGCTATCTGATATATTGGAAGTTAAAAGGGTAATTGCGCGTGGCGTTACTGTCACATATTGAGTCGAGTGTTGTCTGAGTGGAAGATTGGAGCGGGCCCGAGGATAGGGACGAGCGTGTGATCCAATTATGATGTAACGAACGCGTCATTACTCGGAACACGCTCGACAACGAGGCGCATAAGCTCCGAATTGTGGCCACCCATCAAACGTTCTTTTCTGTCGAGACCCGATCACTTCGTTATGACTCGTCCCTCTCCGTTGCCTCGACGATTAAGAGCGAGAAAGGAAGGATGAGGATGATTAAGAAAGATAAAAAAAAGAAATATATGTTTCGAAGAAAAGTAGTTATAATTGACCTCTTAAAAATAAAGTCATACGAATAATTCGTATATTGAACGAGATCATTTTTTTCTCTCTCATATACTCAATTTTAAATTGTTCCATCGAAATTATTGTTTACAGAGATTTGTTATTTATTTAAAAAAAAAAAAAAAACATTAAACTATTTTAACGGAATTGAAATGATATTGATCATAAAATTATAATTATGAAACGCAATTCGACAAGTTAAATGGATGTATAATATATAATTGTCTTAACAATATATTGTTTCAAATATTTGCTGCCGAGTTAATGAGGACAAATTGAGAAGAAGAGATACGCTGGTTTATTCATTGCGAATACGATCCGTGGAAACGCTGATTGTAGGTGCGCGCACATGTCAGAAAGGAAAGACACGTCCAAAGAATTCTAATAAAAATCTGACCCCTTGGCGCGTTCTCGAAAGACAGGTAAAGCGACGCGAGAATCCGTAACTCGACGCCAGGGGTCGTCGTCGCTTGAAATTGAATCGTACTTTCAGATGAAGAAGATAAAAAAAAAAATAAAAAATAAAAAAGAGAAGAATCGTGACTCTTGCTGTAACAGAAATAACATTCGTACGACAAAAGAAAAGAGCTGAAATATTGTCCAGCTTCATAGTTTTTTTATTTTATTATAATTTATTACCAAACTTGTTTCACTTTATAAATTACACGAATTTTTTAAGAAGGAAAACATCCATTTCAAAAATATCATTATTCGACGAGCTGGAGCAAAATTTTACTCGTAGGGGACCGGGTCAGTGGTTGTTATTAAGTAAGAGACCGACAGAATTCTCAAATAAGTCCCATAGTTTCGTATCTCTCCAACAGTTGAACTCGAGAACAGTGGCTAATGTCAACGATGTTATAAAATGTGACACCAGGCAGC